ACCGGGTTCAGGATTGAGGGTTACGGTTTCAACACGTATTAGTCTCTGAGTTTGTGCTGCAGAACCCACCAAGCTACAATCCTGACCCCACTGAGATCAAGATCCGAATCCCAAATCTCAAAACCCTAGATCCTACACCCCAAGCCCTAAAGAAACCTTCCAAGCTGTGCACGGCGACCCTCAAGGTGTTCCTTTCCTATCCTTGGACGGTTTAGGGTCTTAGGGTTTAGGGTCTTAGGGTTTAGGGTTTAGGTCTTCTTTCCTTGGCGTTCTTCTGGTTGGCTCTTTAGACTTTAACTTTTTGAGTTTCTTTATGAACCATAACAAGGAGGCTAAAAGTTTAACTTTTAGGAGGGGTTCAGAAGTCCGCCAAGTTTCAGCAGGAGTCTTGCTGGATCAGAGTTGGGTTAGGACCTAGAGTAGGCCCTTATTCCCATTTTTGAGGGTTCGGGTTCCCTTATAACCCAATTTAAACCAAAAAGGGTACCTTTTTTATTCCTAGGTTACTCTTGGGTCTAGTGGGTTTTAATGCATTTCCCTTGACAAGGCTTGCAGGGCTTTGATCGAGACCTCATAGTTACCTAGGTGGCAATTTGGGAAACTTTTTAATATCCCTTATGGTTCCTATAGAGGTACCCATTCATAAATACTTTTCAGAGCCCCAAAACTACAATCCAGTTACAGTTAGTTAGAACAGGCTTTCGGGCTGTGCTGGGGCCGGGGCTGAAAGGGGATACCCCAAAACTAAACCCAACCCAGAACCCCAACCCTAAATTCCCGACGCCACGCAGCTGCAACGCAGTTGCAACTCTGGGTGACCAACTGTGGCACATTGGGCCTCCATGTAATCCGCAAAGCAAGCCTCAGGACTTTGGCATTTTTTTATTGGGGCTTAGAGTTTTATGGGCTCCCCGAACCGCAAAGCTACAACCAGGGCCCCTGTACGGCGTGAAGACGGAGCTGCAGGAGGTGCCGACGTCAGGCACCAGCTTTTCGGTTTGGGGTTCCGGGTCTAGGGTTTAGGGCGTGGAACGTAGTATGGGAAGGGTTTTCTAAGTTCTAAGGATTTCATAATGGCTCAGGGTCTTTCGGTGCTTTTCGGATTCTTGTTCGGGCTTCCGGGTTCAGGGCAGAGCAATCACATAGTCCCGTAGGCTGCAGCTCGGACCTGCTTCCGAGTCCGGGAGCGTTTTTGCAAGCTGGATGGGTTAAGGGTTGAGGCCCTAAAAACTGAATGTAAAGACATGTACAAACGGCAGGCCTGAACCCTAAACCCTACACCCCTAAACCTTAAACCCTTAACCTAAACCCTGAGGTTTAAGTCCTAAACCCAAGCCCCAAAACCCTACACACCTGCCGTTGCGGATCCTCTGACGGTCCCAGCTCCGAGATTAGAGCTTCCAATAAGGAACCCTACATACATTGCCACGGTTTAGAGTTTAGGGTTTAGGGGTTTAGGGTTTAGGGTTTTTAGGGTTTAGGGGTCCGCTGTATTTCAAGGAGTCTTCGCGTTTTAGAGTCTGGGGTTTGCGAACAAGGCTTTCATAGAATTACAGTATAATTGGCCCCCCAAAACCCTTTTTCTAATTATCAAGGCCGATACGTTACGGCTAGCAAACCCTCCAAAAATAAAAGAGCACAAAGCCCTTTAAAAGAAGGAACCTTCAAGGGAACCTTACGGGAACCCGTAAGGAGCCCTTAAAGGAACCCTTCGAGCCGCTGCCATGACTCAGGTCGTTCGCGATGATCCCCGACACGCTAAGCGGTGCGCAATGTACCGACTGAAGCCCGAAGACCCCATGGCGAAATTGCTGGGGAAAGTCCTGGGGTCTTGTTGAGGGGCGTAAGTTACCATAATCAGGAATCCGTATTATTACTATAGATCCCTACTACAGCAAGCCACATAAAGTTGGAAACCGGATTAAGGCCAAATAGTGCTGGGATTCCCTATGCATTGCTCTTAAGGATAGAGGCTATGAGGTTTCCAACTTTTGGGCTTCTACTGTATGGTAACTTAAGTTGAATGCCTTGGCAAGAACCCGGGAGTCGCTAACAAGTGGCTCAACTCTCTTCCGGGAGCAGTGCCTCGAGGGTCCATCCACGCCGCTGCCCGTTCACTGCTCCGGGGCTCACTGTCGGCTACCCACCCGGAAGGGCTGCCAGCAAGTTTTGATGGGTTGTTTTTGAACGGGCTGTCACAGTAATCTGAAACCCTAAATACAAACATCCTAAAAATTATGTTTTACCAGCACCCTAAATACCCACTATTAAGGACCATAAGGTGGCTTTTAGGGTACTTGGCGGGTCCTGGTAGGGTGTTTAGGGTTTAAGACTTACTTGGTTCTTGTTAAGGGGTTTAGTTTAAGTTACGAGCATAAGGAAGCTATTTTATTTACTATAGATCCATATTATGGTAACTTAAACTGAACCCTTTAACAAGAGCCCAGTTTAGGTCTTTCCATGGCTCTTTCAGCTCTAAGGAAGTAGGTATGAACCCTGGGTTCGCCTCTGGTTCTGTGTTTTTGGGGCGATCAGCTGGCTTTTGTTAAAGTATTTAATTCAAGTTACCATAATCAGGATCAGTGGTAAATGATAGGGTTTCCTCATTATGGTATCTACATGAAACCCGTTAACAAACCCTAAACCCCTAAACCCCTAAACCCTAAACCCCTAAACCCTAAACCCCTAAACCCTAAACCCTAAACCCTAAACCCTAAACCCTAAACCCCTAAACCCTAAACCCTACCCAGTAAACCCTGGAGTCTCCAAAGACCCTGGAGCCTGAATCCCCTATCGACCCGCGTGCCTACGTCGCCCAAAAGCCTCAATCCCTGAACCCAGCGAAATCCTAGATGGGTATTAGGATGTCCTTAAGGGTAGGTAACCTAGTAGTCCCCATTATTCCCCAATACTCCCTAAGCTTCCCTAAGGTTCCCCAAGGCTCCCTAGTACCCTCCCCCCTTGAACCACCCCCCCTTAAGGATCCTATAAGGGTAGTTGTCAAAATTAGGGTCCCTTCTTGGTGAATATAGAACGGCACCTATTATGTAGGGTACCCCAAAATGGTGACCCTACTTTTGACAACCACCCGGATGCTGAAGCCCAAACCCTAGAACTTTACATCCTAGCTCCGGAACCCGACTCAACTACCCCTATCCTAATTCCATTTCCTAAACCCAAACTTAAACACGAAACCCTAAATCAGAACCCCCTTCAAAAGTCCTAAGCTGCCTTGCCTTTGCGCCGACTCACCCCTGAAGTTCCCTAACCCTCTAAAGCCTAACCCCTACCTGAAGCCGGAATAACCTACCTTTTTTAAGGACCTATATAAGGAAATCATAATAAGGAACCCTAAAAAGGTAGGTTGTGCAGGGTTAAGGTAACCCTTAAAACCCCTGAACCCTACCCCCTAAACCCTAAACCCCAAACAGGTTGGAAAGCTTTTGAAGGGCAGGAGCCCATCCCCGAGATACTGAAGTTCCCCTCCTGGCCGGCTCCTCAGTTTAGGGCTGGGGGCTTCCCTTAAGCCTGAAGAACCTACCTTCTTAAGGATCTATATAAAGAAATCATAAACAAGGAACCCTAAAAAGCTAGGTTATTTAGGGTTTAGGGCTTAGGGTTTAGGGCTTAGGGTTTAGGGCTTGGGGCTTCGGGCTTTGAGTTTAGAGTTTAGGGTTTAGGCTTTGGAGCTTCGGGTTTAGTGTGTGGGGGAGGGCTTCGGGATTAGGGTTTAGGGCTTGGGGCCCCTAGCTCTGGAAACCCCAACACCTGAACCCCTAAACGGGTTTAGGGTTTAGGGTTTAGGGTTTAGGGTTTAGGGGTTAGGGTTTAGGGGTTAGGGGTTAGGGTTTAGGGTTTAGGGTGTAGGGTTTAGGGTTTAGGGTTACACCATGAAAGCCGTGAACTCAAAAGCCCCCTGAAACCCTCAGCCCCAAGACGCGTAAAACCACCACTAAACCACCAAACCATAAAACGCGTAAATCCACTAAACCTTTAAATCCTAAGCCCACCAAGCCCTAAACGCCTAGGGGTTCAAGCTGTTTTGACTGTGGGGTCGTTTTCTTTGTCGGGTCGTGGCTTCTTTTAAGGCTTTGAGGATTCTCCCAACGGCTCTAAATGGGGTTTCGGGGTTTCGGTGCTTTAGTGTTTTGGGGGGGTGTACGGTTTAGGGTTACGGCTTTGGTGAGAAGGTTCTGTGTGACTGGGTTTCAGGCATGCCGTGGGGGCAGTACACTCCCAAGAAGCCAAACGCCCCTTTTCCGAAGCGTGTAGAGCCTGTTAGAGGCTATGTTTTGGGTACGGCCCCCACTCAGTAACAGTTGGATAATATTCATAATATAGATATATAAGGCCCGTAATAGTAGCCCTATTATAGACTGTTACTGTATGGGGGCCGTACCCAAGCTATGTTTAGGGTTTCGGGACGAGGGTTTAGGGTTTGGGGTTTTTGCAGGGTTGCAGGTACAAAGGAATTTCGGGACGCGGTTTGTGTGGTTCAGACATTCCACGAATTATCGTGCGCAGGCTGTACAGTACAATCACAGCTATGGGGCCTGGGATTGACTGGTTTAGGATACAGGGGTTTGGTGTTAGTTGCCGGGCTCCTGGCTAGAGATTTCGTGATGACTGATGAGTTTGCCGTCGGTCAGCCGTTGCTGCCAGCCGGTGGCTCATACTCTTACACGGCCCAGCTCGTAATTTCCCTCGTCTTTGGCTGCGATGGCTGATTCGGTCTCATCCTCGAGGCAGTAACTCTCCCGAGCCGAGCGGAAACATGTTTCGAGTGCTATGCCCAAGTTCGCACCCACAGGACTACGGCCATCAAGGAAGGTAAATTCCGGGTCGAATGCCGCAACTGCGGCTCTTGCTTGTATGCATGTGAAGACCACTATCTGCAAGTGCACTGTCTGCGATGTGGACCTCAGGCCCCCCACTCGCGTGAGCAAGCGAGCGAGTATTCTCCCAAAACCACCACCTCCGCAGATGTTTTCTACGGGCTTATGACACCAGTGCCAGGCCTAGAGAAGCTCGGGCTGCAATCTTTGAGGGTTTAGGTTCCGAGCTGCTTCAATTGGGGCGCCTGCGAAACTGTGCATTCCGAACAAATGTAGTGACAACCCAGAGACTCCAATATCCCGTAATTAGGGGAATATACCTTAAATTATAGTAGGATCCCTAAAATGATTTAAGGTATATTCCATAATTAAGGCATTTTGGAGTCTCTGGGAACTTTCAAAACCTGCATGACGATTGCTTGTTGGACAGGTCATGGCTGAACGAGCGCTCTTTGTCCAAGTACCTGCAGTCCGTCATGTTCTGGTGCCACGACAAAGGGGTCTCCAACTTACAGGAAATCCTGCTCCACCTGAACGAGCTCTCAGACGCGCCTTGCTGCACTGCATGGTTCTAGTCAGGGGGATCCCAGTCCGAATGCTGAACCCATCCCCGCTGCTGGAGATCAGAGGTTCAACCCCCTGCCCCATGCCGCTCCCCCAAATGGGTGGTTGTCAAAATTAGGGTCCCTTTTTGGGTCCCTATTATAGTACGGCACCTATTATTTAGGATACCCAAAAAGGGATTATAATACTTGACAACCCCCAAATGAGAAACATGTTCACGCCAAGTGAGGCTGTCTTACATCATGCTCGTTGTTTTAAAGGTGTACGTAGGCGCCCTTGCAAAAGTTTGTTGCGTTGGAAAGCAGACGTTAGTCGTATAGTTCCTCCATGTGAGTTGGCTTGTGTTCACGGTTGCAGGGAGTGTGTTGGGGGCTCCTAGAATACTGGTAGTGGCATTGTGGGTGTTACCGTGGGGGGGACTTGAAAACATAAAGCAGCTTCATATGCTAAGCAAGGAACTGTCCATGAAGACCTTCGAGAAGCGGCGTCTTCTGAAGGGTCCGCCACGGCTCGGCTTGATGCGCAGGGTGGATGAAGCAGCTGCAGACGGTGCGTGGTCGGATGAGTCGGCGTACGGGAGAGACACTTCGGAAGAAGAATATGACCGACCGGAAGAAGACTTTGACCCAGGATGGGAGAGCGGTCCTGATTACCCAGACTGGGACAGCGGTCCTGATTACCATGATGACGGATGGGATTACGATTGATTGTGGCTGGAGGCCTCCGGACTGAACTCTCTAAGTCCTGTACGGTCCTATGATACATGGATATGACTCTAGGGTTTGTACTAAGGATTTGTATTGTGTGGGTTATTTTGTGGGTTACTGGCAATGTAAAGTATGACATTTCGAAACCACGATTACCATTTAAAAGTGCCTTTGCCAAGAGGAGGCACAGGCTTTTAATCCCATGTCAAGAGTGTTTGACGCACCCCCACGAGGTGCGGCCGATTTCAAGGTTTGCAAGGTAGTGAATAAGAGCTCCGGAAAGCCTTGTAACGTAAATCGCACCACTTACATCCAAGAGCTCCTATAATACAACCTGCAAATACCGGCTAATACAGGGGCAGTAATAATTAGAACAGGGGTAATCATATTAACCAAAGCACTGGTGTTCGGAGGAAGCCCCAAAGAAGGGATCTCGATCCTTATCATTGCCCTAGGCCCTAATGGCACATGCGTATTGAGTAGCGCCGATTCATGTTCATCGTGCGCGGGTGATGTCGAGCTTGCATGCGACAAATTGGGTATGCAAGCTCCTGCTTCAAGCTGCGCATGACCGCTACAGTTGGAACAAAACTCACTTCAGTCCGATACTTCCAGCACCTGCATCCCTTGCCCACGAAACGGAAGTCTTCCGACAGTAGGTCTGCATCGTCCCAGTCACAGTGTGGAGATGGACCCTCAACCCTCAACCTGGAGTCGTGATTTGGTACTTGTGCAGACAACCCAGAGACTCCAATACCCCTTAATTAAGGCATATACCTTAAATCATATTAGGGATCCTACTATATATAATTTAGGGTATATTCCGTAATTACGGGGTATTGGAGTCTCTGGGAATGGGACTGTGAAATCACAAGCTACGAAGCCGTGTCGTCCACTAGTGTACTGCGGCGGCGTGCGTTTCGAGGTTGTCATTCTGGCCAGATCTTGCAGGTTTCTGGTTTCGGGTTTATCTCGGTTTCCGTTTTAAGCCTGACTAGTGGGAAAAAGGACACTCTTGCGTTTGAAGGGTTCACTGGGAAACTTAGGAGACTGATTCGGACAGCCGAGAACCTGAACCCAATGCTTGAAGCCGACACGGCCGGCATGAAGTCGGGCTTCTAACATTCTTTGCCACATTGGCATTGTTATCGGGATACTTGCGACCACTACCAACGCCTCAAACTCTAGGCTCTATGCAGACGGAGAATAGCTTTAATCAGCGAAACGTTCAACCCTAGACACATCAAGCCCGGCATCACTCGAACAGACCTAAGTAGCCCTTTTGAAGCCGCCGAAGGAAGACTAAGCGAACCGTCAGTCACGGAACATAGATAAGTGAACACTCAAACCAGCACTTACGGAAGGAAGCCTCTTTGGAGTCCCTGTAGAACCCGAAAACAAGCTCTGATGAGACTAGTAAAGGAAGCCCAAAAGAAGCCGGAAAGGAACTCCCTATGAAACCCGTAAAACATATTCAAAAAACACTCAAATGCTAACCCCTGTATTTTAAAGACCCAAACCCGAACCCATAACCATGCTCAAACACTAAAACCTAAATGGGAGTTTCCGATAACTAGGGGTACCTTATTTTGGGGTCCTTATAAGAAGGATCCCAAAAAATTCAGGCACTATATTGGGGTCCCCCATTTTCGCAAACCCTTAAATAACAGAACCTAAAGCCCTAAACCCTAAACCGAAACCATAAACCCTAAACCCCTGAACCCTAAACCTTTAGGGTTCTCTTATGCCCCCTATTTTCGCAAACCCCCTAAATAAGAGAACCCTAAACCCTAAATCCCAACAGAACCCAAAACCCCTAAACCCTCAACTCCTAAACCCCTAAACCCTAAACCCTAACGGAGCCCTAAACCCCCCAAAATAAAAGAACCCAAAGCCCTAAACCCTCAACCCCTAAACCCTTAAGGTCCTCAAAAAAAACCCTGAACCCCAGAATAAAAGAACCCAAAACCCGGAACCCCAAAACCACTGCTTAGTAAACCCCAAACCCCAACAGAACCCAAAGCCTTGATCCCGCTCCGAGGTCCGACTGCTGTCAGCATGGCGCTTGGCATTTTCTTCAGGCCAGTACACCGGGGGTGAGGGTTTAGGGGTTTAGGGGTTTAGGGTTTAGGATTTCGGGTTTAGAGTTTAGGGTTCAGGATCTAGGGGTTAGGGTTTAGGGTTTAGGGGGTTTAGGGGGGTTGGGGGGTTTAGGGTTTAAAGGGTTTAGGGGTTAGGGTTTAGGGGTTTGGGTTTAGGGGTTGGGGTTAGGGGTTTAGGGTTCAAAGGGGTTTAGGGGTTAGGGTTTAGGATTTTGGGTTTAGGGTTTACATTTAGAGGGGTTTGAGCCTTGAGGTCTTGGGTTTGCGGTTTGCAACTCAGGGTGCAAGCTTGGAGGGTCGGGGGACTTAGTAACTGGTTATTTTAGGGACTTATAAGTACCATAACCCCAATTAGGGTCCCTTTTAGGGTACGTATAAGTCTACTTACTACCTTTTAGGGTACGTATAAGTCTACTTACTACCTACTTACTAAGTCCCCCGACCCTCCAAGAGGTGTAATACAGGTTTGGAGTTGACGGCTTAGGACCACCGCTGGGATCCTTGCTATGGGAGTGCCGCATGTTGCGTGGTACCTAGGCAAGGACCTTGGCGATTCTCAGGGATTCCCAAAACCACCTTGAATTAAGGATGATGCGCTACATCAGAATCTGGATCCCTGGGTAATTTTTAGGCATTTTGCCTATTGCCTGACCCTAAACCCCAAACCCTCCATAATTCAAGGTTTATTGCTTAGCATTAAACCGTGAACTCTTAAACCCTAAACCCGCGCCATAGTTTGAGGCGTGCTGCTTAATCAAGGGGTTTTGCAGGAAAGGCCTAATCGACAATGCTCCGAAGAAAGTGTACAATAGCGTATCCAAACCGCAAAGGGTCAACCTAACTGAACACCCAGCCAATATCCCAAAACGCTGGAGCTCTAAAACCCCAGAGCCCTAAACCGAAAAGCAGCACCCCAAACCCTTCAGCCCCCACCTAGGATCCCAAATCGCGATCCCCAAAGCATACATGTGTTCACACCCGACAAGCTTCATGTGGCTCTTGTTTAGAGGCCCCGGATTTAGTAACATGTCCTTGGTAGTATACCGCAAAGGCTTATTCGACTAATCAAGGCCTCCATATTATAGTTGCTTTCAGGTCCGTGTAGTTTGTTTAAGAATTTGGAAACTCTAAACCCTAAGGGGTAGTCTTTCGGAAAATGTGGGGCAAAGGTTTGCAGTTTGGCTTCGGCGCTTGAGGATCCGGGCTTCGGGATTTTTCCTGTAGCTTCAAACCCTACGAAACTGCCGAGTAGTAGGTAGTGACCCCTTCGTCTAGAGGGTATATCCCAGCATCAGTTTGAATGCTTGAGGCTTCGAGAGGGTTGAGATGAGGAACTGGGTGTTGACCGCCATTTTTGTATCTGGGAGTTTCAAGAAAAGCACAGTACAAAAGACTCCTACCGCCTTTTTGTATTTGGGAGCTTCAGAAAGCACCGTACAAAAGACTCGCAATCGCATCGGTGTTGAGCTTCAGGGTTTGGAGTTCAAGCCGCTACACACTGATACCATACAGCACACCTCAAGCATTTTGCTCCAAACCACGCCGAACCCAAGAGACCCCCAACCCGAATCCCCAACATACATCTGGGACCGCTCCTTGCAAGCTAGAGCATAAGGTAGACGCCAGAAAGTTGGAATATGATTATCCTAAGCCTTCTATGGTAAATTATAGGGTATCCTACCATGAAACCATATTCCAACTTTCTGGAGTTCCCTGTAAGGGCTCCTTCGCGCAATCGAGGGATGTGGAATGTGGGTTTGATATAGTGCTTGAACAGGGCCCGAATACGAATTCTATAGCTGACCTACAAATTGGCCTTCGTAAGAGGGATCTCTGGTATTGACCTATAAACCTTTATCACAAGTCATTCAGGTATCCCTCCGAAACCTCGAATCTTTAGGGTTTATGGTTTTAGGCGATTTTTTTCCCTGGCACCTTTACCCCAAAGCCGCAACTCATCGCCGAAGGAAGCCGAAAATGCTGCGAAGGCACGCGGCTGGGATTCGAGCCGTCCAATGCTGACATTCGAAAACCCCTTAATGACGGAACAGGCCTTGAATCTGAGTGTTAGGAGTACTTTCTCTCGCTCTCTCTTTCTCTATTTTAAGGGGTATTTCTCTATAGCTTACGGAATATTCCTTACTCAACTTTTTTGAGTCTGTGGGTTTAGAGGTTCCGTCATGTAGGACTGAAGAGGTCTAGTGCTGCAGCTTCCAGCTTGCAGGAATTAGGATTGCACTGTTCTGTAAGGAAAAACCCATTCAAATGATCACGGCCCGTACATTAAACCCTTTATAGCAACGGCCTTATGGACACCTTTTCAAAAGGTCCGTATACCCCAAACCCTAAGCCCTAACCGGAGTTGTACCTGACTGCCATGGCAGCTCCGCCCTGACCAACAAGGAGAAGTAGCTGACACTTCCCCAACTCAAAGAACCCTAAACTTAGGGACCCCAAAAGCACATAAGCATAAGCATTTTACCCGGATATCCCTACCTTATTGGGCTTCCTTAAAAGGGGGTTTATATGGGATGTCCCTATCCTTGTTTTTGCTTATGTGCTTTTAAGGGGCCCTATAAACCCTAAACACTAAACCCTAAACCCTAAACCCTAACCCCTAAACCCTAAACACTAAACCCTAAACCCTAAACCCTGAACCCCTTGACCTTAAGCCCTGGAGCCCTACCCCGGAGTTGAAGGTTTGGACAGGAAACCCAGAGACTCCAATATCCCTTAATTAAGGAATGTACCTCAAATCATAGTAGGATCCCTAATATGATTTAAGGAATATTCCATAAATTATAGTAGGATCCCTAATATGATTTAAGGAATATTCCCTAACTAAGGGATATTGGGGTCTCTGAGAACTGAGGGCCCTCGGTCCGACGTTGAAGATAA